GTCATCGAAATGGAAATGACAGATCATTTGAATGCAGGAGATAAATACAGGGAACATTGACCCTCCAGATTTCTTCTAACCTCAAGGAGAAGGAGAAAAACACTTGCAGATGAGCTTATTGGTATAATATGTTCCTGTGATTCAGGCACCAGGAAGATATTAAGGAGAACAGCCAAATTAACTGTGGGGTGCCACACTTTTCTTTGTTAATTATTTCCACACAAGAATAACGCTTTACAATCGCTTCTTCTATCCATGAATTGAGACTTCAGAGTTTACTGTGGACGTAGGAAAGCCTACATCCGTCTGTGGGAATTCAGATGCTTGCTGAATTTCTACAGTTGAACGATAGTAGCAAAGGCAGGAAAAGAACTTGGACCCTTGCAGCATACATAATCCAGTCTCTGTTGAGATCAACAGGCTGTGATTCTTAAGGAAATATAGAGTGCCACCAATGCTTGGATAATAATTAACTGCCTTCTTTGTGCCCTGACTTTGACCTCAACAGTAAAGCTGTTTCCCAGGGTTGAAGCCCATATTCTGCAACCCACAGTGCTTGCTAATTCCAAATGGGCTTCACTCTCATTAAACACAACAACCATAAGGGCACTGAATACAGAAAACAAGTCTCTTCCAGGAACTATACCCAGAAAGGATCAAGAAAGCTACCCAATGAACGCAAAGCTATAGGGTGCAAGCCCAATATGATAGCCCCTAGGAAGGTAAGCACAGAAGCTGATGGGTTGCAAATCATACTCACTCCAACAACTTTCATTCAAAGCAACCTTCACTTCAAGAGCAGAATCTGCTGTCAATATGTAAAAAGGTATTAGGTTTATATAGGGGCTCTTTGACTAGCTGGAACGTTTTCTTCATGAAATTTCAAGGAACATTTCCAGTTCAATAATTCCTATCCCCCCTGTAAGTATGGGAACCAGAAAACCCAAACTTTAGACTCTGTCTTGCACATCTTATCAAGATCTGAAATCTGAGATTCTGTGGAATACAGAACTGGGATTGCGGTTCAGTAGATAGCAGCATGTACAAGATCCTGGGTCCAGTCTCCAGCAACGGGTCTAATGGTGTGCAACTACCTGTAATCCCAGTCCTTCTGAGGGGCAAGAGGGTGGATCATAAGTAAAGGCTATCCTCTGCTATACGTTAAGCCTGAGGTCAGCCTGGGCTTAGAGATTCTGTCTCAAAAACAAAAAGAACAACCCAAAGGCCACTGTTTGGTCACCTAGCAGAGGGTCTTTTTTGTTTTTTTGTTTATTTGTTTTGTTTTTCGAGACAGGGTTTCTCTGTATTGCTTTGGAGCCTGTCCTGGAACTCACTCTGTAGATCAGGCAGGCTTCAAACTTACAGAGATTCGCCTGACTCTACCTCCTGAGTGCTGGGTTTAAAGGTGCTTGCCACCACTGCCCGGCTTTAGCAGAGGGTCTTGAAAGAGAAACAAGAAAAAACATGTAAATGAGTCACTACCACCTAGTCTTAATTTTGAGTTTACCCCTCACTGACTTTCTTTCTAGCTGTGTGGGGAAGAATAAATAAATGAATATCCCAAAGTTTAGTAAAAATCTACAAGATACATAAAAGGATGGGAACGAAAGGATAGAAAAAATATACAAAGAACCTAGAAATCAAACCCCAGATTAAGGCAGAAGCAGAAGGCAGAATTGTTAAGGCCAATAGGCATAAAATGTATAGGTGTTGGCTGTGGAGAGAAGTGGTTGGTTTCCTTGACAGATGCAGGATGAAGATGACGACAAGTCAGGAAAGAATGAAATGGAAGTTAAAGTTCCAGGAGCTTAATGCACATCTAAGGAAGGACAGAGGTGTATTTTTTCTTAAATATGGAGACAGGGTACCCGGTCTACAACCATGTTAGAAGCATCCCAGGATGCTCCCCACAAATGGGGAACGCAGATGTGCTTGCACTTTTGCAGGGCTCCCTCACATCCCAAGGGGGTTCTGTGTGGGAGGGAATGCTCAGGTGTCCTGCTGCAAGGTAGAGAGTTGGGAAAGGAACATACAGAAGAAGGCAAGGAGCTGGCGTTGAATGGCATGTGATTTGTGTAGGGGCAGAAGAGAGAGGAATTAGCTTTAGGACTAAGCAGAGAGAGCACGATCCTCTGGCTTCCCGGACTCCTAATTAGTCTCTGGAGTTGTCCTCTCACAGAAACCGAGGGTTTCGTTCTGAACTGGCAGGCTGTCCTAATGTTTCTGTATTGTTTGTGGAAGACCCTTATATTCATCATTCTCTAAGGCCTTGAGTAGTCGCTAGCACCTGGCAGTCATCAGTAATGAATAATCATTGCTGAGTGAGTCAGCCATGTTCCCACATGAGGGATATGTCTTCCATTAATTAAAACGGGAGTCAATAATGTGCAAAATTTAGCCTATATTTTCTTTATTACTGCCATTTGGCAAATTGAGAGTGAGAGCTCTTGCAATTTAAATCTCCCTCTGAGGAAAGTTTAGCAACTGTCAAGATAGATCTTGGCAGCTCTCTCTTGGGTCCCCAAGGCTCACTAAGTATTTGAAGAGGACATAGCCTTTTCGCCTAGCGGCTGGTGAAAAAACCTGTGTCCACACATGAGAAGACATTGCCCAGTTTATTATCACCAGGAGATTACTTACTGAGACTTAAAACTGAGGCTCAGTAGCAGGCAACCTGACTTCCTTTCACATGGCTCTCACTTTACTTTTGTTATTCAGGAACATGGCACAGGGAGTGGCTGCAGAATGGCCTTGTTGACTATTCTGCCTGGGAAGAACTAAGCACCAAGTGGAAGACCAGGGTGAGGTAGGAGTTGTGGGTCTAGGATGTGTAGAGAGAATTAGGAGCCAGAGGGATTTTGTAGGCCACTGTCCTATGAACAGTAGCGTGCTGGAGTTGGGCTGACCAGTGAGAATATATGACCCTGGGGATAGCTGACAGCGACTTTTAGCCAACCCACACATTTCTGTAATACTGACATGAACCTTGGGGGAGGGGTCCCTGGCTGTGATTCTGAAGAGAAAAGACATTTTTTATCTAAGCTAGGGTTGAGGATGAAATTAGAATTCTTGATTATAAGGCTGTCCCATTTCTGGATCCTACACTGACCAGCATTTCTAACTGTTCCCTTGGCAGCACTGGTGGTTAGCCACTAGCTAGGTTGTGTAAGTCCAGATGATGAAATCATGGGTTTTAGTTGTTCCAGAATTCAGGGACCTGGATGTGATCTTGCAAAGCCATCTTTTTAGAACCATCTATCCTTGCTAATTATGAAAAGTTATACATATTCTCTTGATTTTATTCTCTATGGTGACTGTTCCATGACTTATCAGAAACAAATTATTGGACACAGTAGATTTCCCTATATCCACCACTAAATATATATTCTTCTCATTCTTCCTTTCCCTCATTTCAGGAGAAAGCCGGTTCTGTTATGTGTGTCTGAAAGTTCTCTCTGTTATCTCTGGGTGCATTCTTTATTTCTAAGTTTTACACTCAGTTCTCCCCAGGAAGCCCTCAATTCTGCATGCACTCTCCTTGTTTTGAACACTCTATACCTCACTCATGTCTTTCTGTGTGTCATCCCCATGCACACATCCTTCCAAGCCACAGCTCCTTGGCAGTGGCACCTATTTCTGGAATTATCTGTGTACTTTGTTTTCTCAATGTTCCTGCTTGTACTGATGGGAGGGCTCCCATTTTCATTACTTTAGAAATCCTACTTATCCTCAGTTGATCTCTCCCACTAGGAATATTTCCCACCTCTTCTAATCACATCGAATAGGTATTTGCTGTATTGCCTAGTATTTCATATATTGTATAACAGATCACTCACCACATGAGAGTTTTGTCAGTCTCTCAGCTTACAATCTACCTACACAATGAAGACAAGAGTGTTTTACTTGTTACCAAATCCCTTATGCAACAATCATGGTCCATGGCTTTCTGTTTATTGAATGAATATATAAATATATATAGTATCTTATCCTGAATAAGATCAATGCCGTGGAAAGGCATCAAAAATAAGATTTACACTTGTAAATTTTTTAATATTTCAAAAATAATTGTTTGTTTCTTTCTTTTTATTTAAATTTGAAACAAGCTTGCATAGGAATTGATTCTTTTCTATAAAAGTTGCTCCTGCGGCATGATGGGTCATATTGAAATCTCAGCACAAAGGTGCCTGGGCAGGAATACTTCTGTGAGCATGAAGTCTTTGGGAGCTATATAGTGTGTTCTGAGCCAGCTAGGATACCTAGTGAGGTCTATCATAGAAAAAAGAGCATATGTTCACACATCCCTCAACAGTAAATTTCAGATGGCTAAAATAATGGGCTTGAAGCTGGAGGAAAGGGAGTAAAGTGTGAATTATGAGAGTCAAGATTTATTTAAAGCAATGCAACTTCATTACTTTCAGTACTATGATCATCCAATAAAGTCTAAGGACGCATTTACTTAATGACATGGATCTTTACTTTGTAGTTGGATCCTTTTGCCTAAACAGCAAGATATGCCTGAGCCCTGGAAAGATTTTCGCATGAGTTACAAGCCATCTCCTTTTGTGCTCACCCAATCCAAACCTTACGGATCATCCAAATAAAATTTCAGACTAGACCAAATGATGTGTAGAAGCAATATATGAATTGATAAGGTTTAACTGGATTCACAGAAGAAGGCATTTTGAAAACTTAAAAATTATAGTACAATGCCCCAGGAAAGCAGTATATAGTTTAACATAAAAATATAAAATAGTACCTTTTTCCCCAAATATGACAAATAGTACTATTCTCATGTTGGAAAGATATCTGCAAAACCTCTGGTTTCCTTGGTAACTACTTTTGGATTTGGGTCCTGGTCTGCTGCCCCTCCTCCCACACTTCATGTAACAGTGGCACCTGGGCTGTGATTTCTGGTGCTTGGTGTCACCAGACAGGCACTCAGTGAAGTCTGCAGATGTGCTACTTGCCCTATTTGGCTACTAGAGGAGGATGTTACTCACCCATTCTGGACACATGCTTCAAGGACTTTACTGGCCACCATTCTGCCAAACAACAGAAGGACATTTCTACGTCAGCACCACAGTCAAAGGCATTTATACAATTTTCCACAGGAAGATGACTCCAAGACTGATATTTGACTTGTAACAAGGATGGTACAGGGCAGGGAGTCATAAAACAAAGCATTTCATCTCCCAAAGAGGTGACAGGTTAGGTGTTTCTTAGGAAATATGGCATTACTTTCAAACTATGCCACACACAGACATGTCTTTCTTTATCACTCCTTGTCAGGGAGGAGGCTGGGAAGTTGGATCTGGAAATGGCTGCCCCCGGGATAAGGATTTCCCTCCAGTTAGCATTTTACTCCATAATCTACCTGCACATTAACCTGTGGTTGTGTTTGCCACTTAAAGCCACTTTATCAACCATACTCTAAGGCAGGCCCCTTGTCCAGGGGTAGTTTGTTTGTTTTTTCCTTAGTAATGCTTCCCTTTCCTTAGTGATGTGCATGTCTTCAGGCAGGCCAGGTTGTGTCTTTCACACACCTGAACCGTATCCAGGTCCATCTAGTACAGAGAGTCTGACGTTCAGTATCAGCTACCTTAGTTTGCAAGGGCAGGAAGAAGGAATGAGCTGATATTCAGGATGAAAGGTAAGTGTTCCAAGGGAAACGACCCATGGTCATTGACTTCATCCAGAACCAGTGCAAGTGTACTCTACAGAGAGAACTAAGAGATTTCTTTTCATCCTAACAAGAAAGATGGGCTTCTTCTGCCACGTGGAACTGCTCAAATGGAGCATAGTTATATGTTCAGTCATCAATGGGACAGGTTCAATCATCTACGGGACAGGAGAGCCTTTGCCCATGAAGTCATTGTAGCTCTAACACCTTCTTCTTATCCTTATGGAGTTCTAATACTTTCTTATTACCTCATGAATATGTTATAAATACTGCATTATAATACATTCTATACTGCACCAATATTTTACATAATACTAATTATATTTAAAATATATCCTATATTGTCTTTGCACTACATATTTGGCATACAAATTTAAATTTTTGCCCCCTGAATGCTTAAAAGGTTTTCTTCAAACTATGTTGATTCAAGTATGAACAGGTACTTTAGTGCTCTGACTTAAGCCATGCTAAGGATATCCCTGCTCTGTTCTGCTCTGCTCCATTTAAATAACCTGCTGCCAGTAAGACTCGCATCCAATATTGCTTTTTCCTTTCCTAATTGAGACCACAAATCCTTGCTGGTCTTATCTTTTTAATCAGTCTTCCACCAAATTTCATTTGTGCAAGACATACCAGGCTATATTGTGTCAGTGAGGTGCATTTCTGGCTTTAGGGTCATTTAAAATACACCCAGGGGATTTCTGAGTTGCACTGTTGAAGCATCCCAGTGTAAGGTGTCAGCAGTTCCACTGACTTAGCAATTTCTGCATTCTGGATGGAGGTATTTATAAGTCATTTATACAGCTCATCAATAAGTTATAGTCCTTCAGTACAGCTGATCCCCACAGGTGGGAACCTGAGACGGAAACTCGCTGCTCCAACCTACTTTAGTGTCACTGTAACTAGGCTTTACCTGCTCATCTGTGTAACAGCCACGGGATGAAGGTCACGCCTCCTTCATTTAGTCATGAGAGCACTATTAGGACTACAGTTCCATGTCTTCCTCCACACATTCCCACAGCACAGTATCATCATTTATGCTAACCATCACTCAGTGATGGAAAGGAGTTAAATTACTGCAGAAAAGGAGATACTCAAGTGTCAGGTACATCTACTCCTTTATCTCTGATGACCCTCTGGTAGTTCATATCCCGATGGCACAGTGGATTATTCTCAGTGAGTGTTGTTCTGAAGCTACCTGGCGTATAACGATCAACCTTGTTCATAAGGATGTGGGAATGACATGTGCTTCCCTCCACTTTCTCAGTGGCTGGGCAGAATGTCGCTACAAAGTCAACCATCTGATTTTATTTTATTTTTTTAGTGATTCTGGAAACGTAACATTAGGACACCTGGGGACTTGATTCTCTGCCCTGGCCCTAGTTTGTTTCCTCACACATCACAGACATGACCGTATTAGATAATGTGCTTCTCCCACGTTGTACACTGGAGTGGTGAAGTTGTTGAATGCCCCGATGATCCAGTTTTACTCCTCCTTATAACTTGCCCCAGTCTAGTTTAGAGTCAAACTTTGATGTAGGTGGATCAAATTAAAAATATTGAGAGATACATATCTTTGAAGATCTGTAAAAAGGCAGAAAAGTTTTACAAACTGTCTTCAAGGGGAAAATGATTGCTCTCATTCCTTAACAATAATAGAATGTAGGATTCTTCAAAGGATTTGCTCACCTCTGACTTCTAAATAATTCTTACTCTGTGTGTGTGTGTGTGTGTGTGTGTGTGTGTGTGCACGTATACACACAGGTGTCCATGCAGACCAAGAGGGGGCATCAGATTCCTTGGAGCTGGAGTCACAGACATGGGTGTTTTGATAGAGCAGCAATCACTCTTAACCGAAGAGTCATCCCCAGCCCTCTATGTGTATATTAATGCATTAAAGTCTCAGTGCAAACAGTCAATACACACTGACTTACTAGCTAAATGATCATTTACTAAATATTACAGGTATATTTCCATGGTACACCTCCTGTCGAATGCATGTTTTTATATTGTGCTTGCAACTGAATGTGGTGTTAAGTTTTACCTGGTGACCAGCACAATAAATCAAAACAGGATTTTTCTCTGATGTCCCCATCCTTTAATCTGAATTATTCTGTTTTGTTTTCATGTTCAGCAAGCCGCACCGGCTGAAACTTGATGTAAAGGCCACAGTGAGTGAATATTTCCATTGTTATGATGGAAAATCATCTAAAATAACCATCACTTCCCCCATTATTATCTGGCGGATCAGAGAGTTTAACGAAGCTCAAATATCTTGATGAGGCACAAAGAGCTCATTCTCAGGTAAGAGAAACAAATATGACTGTATGTTTTTTCTCTTGAAAGAATTTGGAGTAATCCCCTGACCACATGATCCATTAATAAAGTGATTAGTCACCATCTCTCACCCCCAGGAGAAGAGACAAGGACAGGAACAGGTTAGACAGCCTCCCAAGGCCAAGCAGCCATCTGTTGAAGCTGAAGCAGATTATGTGTGGATTTCCAAAGCTGCCTTCTCAAGATACCATTTAAAAACCTTTAAATGATGTGTGTCTGTGTGTCCGCACATGAGTCATGAAGGTCAGGAGCATTGGGAACTCTGGAGCTAGCACCACACGTGGTTGTGAGCCACCGAACATGGGTGCTGGGACCTGAACTCAGAGGTTCTGCAAAATGTCCTTCGAGCCACTGAGCCTTTGCTCCAGGTGCCACTTCCCATAGCCTTTTCCTTAATACTGGGCCAGGTTTTGCTTTTATAGACAAATCATTCAGAAATATGATTATTAACAGTCTCTTACTTACAGATGCTTAGCTGTGAAACAAGCACAAGTGTCACACCAGCAATGTGTGGGTTCCTTTGCTGTCCAGTGTTTAGTTGCCAGATTTAAAAGTGTATCCTGACACATCTTTTGAAATACTGATATGATCTTGATATAACTCCTCTCCTGCTCTTTTAAATTGCTGCATATACAATTATTTGATTAATAATAGGCACAATAACAGCCTACAGGGACTGGTTGTTACAAAACAGCAGGCATGCTATCCTGGGCTTTGTGTTGTCCTATGCTTCACATCAAAGAAATTTCACAAGAATACCTCGGGGAGAAAAGCTTGAGTTTCCAGACTGGGACTTTCTTTAACAGTCCAGACCTGAGGTCGTAGCCCACCGTCCCCAGTTTCAGTTCCTCTGAAGTGAACAGAGAACTTAAAATCACAAAGAAGAATTATTTCAGTCTTATTTACCACTCTCATAGAATTCTATAGCTTTTGGAAATCCAGCTTGATAAATCTCTTTGAAACATAGTCATAGAAGCAGCAACTCTCTTTTATATACTTGCATGTCGGCCTGCCGTTAGTTTTCATGATTTGTAACTGCATTATTAGATGGACAATTAACACAGAAGGGCTGGGAATGAACTTAACTTACACTTGGCCCATCTATAACAGCACCGGCAAGGCCCACATTTGCAGGTAGCCTGGAAGGTTCTGAGGTTGAGTTAGCCAAAAGCACAGCTCAATGTTTGGAATACAAGTAAAGAAGATGATTGTCTCTTCCCCAGAGACTATCAAGTTGTTAACAGTTCATTAGGGACAGATAGGGCTCAATAGTTGGCTGTAGGCCCACTCTCGTGCAGGGCAAGCAGGGATTTAATTAGGTAAATCTGAAGAGGAGGTGAGCACAAAGAAATATTGTATTTGATATTTTATGTGCGTATTGCATCAACAGACTTAATGCTAAAAAGGAGAAGGGGGAAGACACTGAGTGTGGTTACTTTTTTCTTAAGATTGCAAAGCTAGGGTGAATCTAGAATTTGATGCAGTGTAATGTTCTCTCTCCTTATCCCATTGTTCCTTGGGATAGTGGTAACTATATGGCTTGAGTACACTTGCCAAAGCTTAGAGAGGGGACGGGAAAAATTAGAGTGGTTAGCAGGAGACCAGAGTAACAGAGAGCAGGGATCTCCAAATGGCTGAGATCATCTTAGGAATTTTCAAAAGATCCCATGTATTTTTTTTTAGTTAAGCCAGGTATTTCTGGACTTCATACTTCACTGATTCAACACAAAGAGGTTTTCAACAAACACATTTTGCTTGGCGATACTGCACAAAGAACTGGTTTTTGTGGTTCTGAAATTGAGAGATCCTAAAAGGGCATGACCTCTAACTAGAAAACAAAAAACAACCCAGAAGAACCTTCTGGCCCAATGATGCCACCAGGGAGCCAAGGGCAGGTGGAGCTGGAGGATGTCTATCTATCTATCAGGGCAAAGAGCAAAGCCAGTGCAGTCATACAGCCAACCTCTTACTCCTGACCCTCTGGATAACACAGCTTGTCTCTCTCCAGTCTCTCTCTGGCTAAGTCTGTTTAAGCCCCAGTTTCAAGGAACTTTGAAAGGGAAAGTTTATAGCAGCTGTTCTGAAATGCCCTAGAAGAGACCTTGTTTTCCTGTAAAGTGAGAGTCATTTCTGTTTGAGTTGAACCCTTCCTCCATTTCTTTCTTTGACATTTTCCAAGGTATTTCTTGCCAGAAGAAACCTAGAGGCATACTGAGGCTTCTCTGAGTTCATAAGGATTTCATGAAAATTTTAAGATCTCAAATGGCTGTCCCTTTCATGGGATTCTGTTCAGTGTTCTAAAATACTTATACCCAGGGCCATTACTTTTCTACACTTTCAAAGCCGGATGTTTAGGCTTCCGTTATCTGCAGACACAATTATTGCAATAGTGTGGTTGTACAGGTGGGTGAGATGGCAGAAATGGTATCATGCTTCAGTAATGACTTTAGACGGTGATTATAAAAGAAAGATCTATGTGTCACGACAGCAAAAAGGTGCAGGCCATATGAGCAAACAGTTCTGTCTGTTTTGTGGAGATCACAGAATAAGTTAATCAGTTAAAAGGAAGTTCAAATTCAACAGAGTGAAGCAGGCTGGGGCTCAGGAGCAGTGTTTGTGACAGGCATGCATTTAGGGCATCCCTAATAAAGCCACACTTCATTGTAAAAGGCAGTGCTCCTATGTGCCACTCTGTCAGCAAAGAGAGTGGTCATGACAGGCTCCCCGAAGGAGGACACAGCACATACTCTGTATCAGGCACTGGGGAGACATGCCATTATGGAGGCCGTGGATGGGACAAGTTCAAGAGGCAGCCTCAAAAAGAACAGCACTGCAAAGGCCAGGACACCTGAGTCTCTGGTTCAGACTGTCAGCTACCCCATGGGTCTCCCAATCCCTCCATCTACAAAAGGTCTTCATGTATATCTTTGCCTTGTAATTCAAGGTAAACAGTTCTCAAGGTCGGTCAGTCACAATTTTCCATATTATGCCATATCTAACCTTGTTTTCCATAGTGCTTTCCTAAATCTGGCCTCATGTGATGCTGATGGCTACTGCATAGGTACAAGGGACTTTCAGGCTGGCATGCTAGCTGGAGTAACTCTTGACACATCACCAAACAGAAATTTCACTGTTGGCTCTGCCAGGTGACTTATTGGGTAAAGGTGATTGCACCAAGCCTGAATACTGGAGTTTGATCTCATGCCCACATGATGGAAGGTGAGAACCAACACCAAAATCTGTCCCCCAACACATAGTTGTGTGCCACTCCCTCTATGACAAAAGGAATAAGAAGTCTCTTTCTCAGTTCTTTCACTCTGAACTATGCTGGATTTAATTCAGAATGTATATGTGTATGAGTGCACGAGTGTGTGCATAGTGTGCATGTGTGAGTGTGTACATGTATGTGTGTGCACAAGTGCATGTGTATGTGTGAGAGAGTGCGTGAGTGTAAGTGTGTGAAAGTATAAGTGTGTGAGAGTGTAAGTGTGTATGTGAGTGCGTGTATGCATTCGTGTGTGTGTGTGTGTGTGTGTGTGTTGCTAGCTTTAACCTCTCTTGAACTTCTTCACTTCTCTGTTCATGGCTCCAAACTCAAGCTTCCACCAGGGTGGCTTATTGATGGATCAACGCAGCTAAACTTAATGAAATTTGTAATCCTTTCCACAGCTCCTCAGTGGTCCCTTGCACAGATGTGTTTAACTATTCAGACAGCTCTCCTGCATTTCATGCACATGACTCTGGCATATCCAAGCACCTCTTTACCACACTTTCTTCTAGCCCCCCACTTTCAATCCTTTCTCTCTGTATCTTACTCTATTTCTTTCTTTTAAAACATTACTTTTACCATCAGCATTCCAGCCACGACCTTTAAGGAAAAGCTGACCTGTTGCATCTGGCTCCAAAATCCTGCCATCAATCCATTTTCACGTTGGTTTATCAAATTAGTTAACTTAAGAAACGGTTTACCTTTTTGAAACCCCTGGTTTACTTTCCAATGTGACAGGAGCCAGTTAAACTCTACGCTCAGCTAAAATAGGCTCTGTGCTTACTCACGTGGTTCAGGACTCTCCCACACTAAGTCCAGAAGTCCCCAGGCTACACTTCCCTCTCTCCCAAGCTTGAAAGCCTGGCCCTCTTCCTTCTGCTGTGAAAGTTCCAGTCTTTCTTGAACAGGCATTCTTGATGGCTTCATCTCCACGTGTACAGGCCGTCCTCTAAACTACAGGAGTTGTTGAATGTTGGGGAGGCTGGTGACAGCACAGAGGTGAGCTGCTGGTAGGCCAGGTCCTCTAGCTTCATCAACTCACTTACTTCTTAACTTTACCAGGTATTTCCTCTGTCCTCACGGCAGCACAGGGATGCTATTGACATGCCTAGGTTACAAAGGGCCAGTACAGGTCCTATCCATTAATCCCTGCATCACCTGGCCAATTGCACCTACAGTGGTGTACATCTGCATGTGTCAGTTGTCTCCACCCCTACGTTGTCATAGGGAAAAGCACTTTTCTGCATCAGTTGGGCACCTAGTGACAGCTCCACGAAGCCTCCCAGAACACTGGGAACAGTTTAGCCACAAAAGCCACATTACCTCTGACAGGGCCTTTCCTGCTTACTACAGAGATCTACCATCTTTTCCGTATTCTGTTGCAGGACAGACTATGTACTGTCACAGGTCACAAAAGGGCTAACCCTGGAAACACCTGCTCCATTTTTACATTCATTCAGAGTATGAAACAGATGATGAACAAGATTTCAACACCAGAGTCTCTTGCCCTCTCTTCTCCCTTCCCTTCCTTCCTCTTTCATCATCTTCTCCACTCCCCTCCTCCCCTCGCTCCTACATATTTCCATGTATTCCTTCATTTCTGTCTTCCTGTCACTCCCAGAGGCAACATTTGTTTTTGCTCATAGACAGTGCATATCTGGGTTTGCTATTAAACTTCCTATGCTAAATACTAAAACAT